CTGTCGGTACTGCTGCAACTGCACCTCAAACTGCTCTACCAGGCTCCGGAAATAACTAAAGACAAGAAACATACACATATCTTTTTGAGAGACAAGCAAAAAGGGGCATAATGACTTAACGGGCCATAAAGCTGACACTGCTGCACACATACACCTTTGATTTGCTTCAGGACTACTATCTGGGGGCTAACTTACTCTGATGGAGCATTGTTCTCATGCTGAAGTCCAGGGGGGGTCTTCTGTGTACGCAGTGCTATGTCAGCATTTTTCAACTCCTTCAATACAAAGGAACAAATAAATCAGAGACAGTTTTTTAAAGTTTCTTCAGGATACTATCATTTTCTTGGAGGGCACTTTCCACTTTATGAGGTGAGAGTAACAGACATGGTAAAGAAGCTATAGGTATGCCATAAGATAAGGAAAAACTCGTATCCATCTTGGTCTAGCAATGGAGCATCTTTTCTTGTCATTTCCCATCACAGGCAAGAAATTGATAACGTTGACAAAAAAAAAAAAAAAAACTTAAATTCTGTTCTTGCACAATATATAGCGATTCAAACATTTTCAATTATCCGTGGCCAATAGGGTCCATTGTCTAGTTTTGTCTAATACGTCAAACCCCTCTAATTTCCAATTTCTAATTCAAAGACCCGTAATAACCATATACAACATAACATTTGTATTTATATAAGATTTGTGCTTCAGAATAAAAAGACACATAATACCACTCACACTAAAGATTGTGCACATGTACAGTATTTACCTGCGCTGTTTCCATCTTGAGCTTGTCGATGGCCAGAGCTTGGCGCTGCAGGCCGCTGGCGCTGACAGAGAGAGACTGTTTGAGGCTCTTGATGTCGTCTTGGACTTTAGAAATGGCCTTAGATGACATCCTGCTGATGTCTTCCTGAACCTGTTTCTGGTCTTTAACAAATTTTCTATGAAAAAGAATGAAAGAGACAATTGATAATAACTCAACACAATTGTTTTGCCTGCAATACATTTTGGTGCACTAGTACCAATTTGTAATAGACAATATAAAACACATACAACACTTACTGGAAATTCTCAACATCCTGACAAATAACTGGTGGTAGGTTCTCATCTTTCAAAGCTTTACTGTCCCTGCGAGAGAAAGAGTGCATTTCATTACAACACGCAGAACATTCCTTGCTGATCAGATATACACGTAGCAGAGTAGGAAGCCACTGAATGCTTCCCAGTAAACAGTTGTTTACACTATAATCCATTATGGCATATAGAGTTATTGAAAGTTCTAGCATTAACTTTCAGCAAAAAACCACACATATGTTGGTAAGCAGGATTTACTTTGCATTGGCTCCAGATGATGTGTCGCTCTTATTCTCAGAGGACGTGCTGAAGTCGACTCCACCCAGGCCAAGACTGGGGGCCGGGGCCACTGCTGATGCAGTGGAGGAAGCTAACAGAGAACCTAACGTTAACCCGCCTCCAAGAGTCTGACCCAAACCTGCAACACCAAGTAAACACAAACATAGGTTTTAATTAGTGGTGCACGATAATTATCGGCCCGATATTAGGAATTATGACGTCATCCCGATAAACCCGATAAAAGTATTAATAGCCCCGATAATATACAATATATGTTTTGGGTAAAAAAAAGAAAAAATACTGCGGTGTGGGTGGATTGAGATGAGGGGCGCTTGTTTTTCACTCGGCTCCTCCCGTTTTGCCAGTACTGTGGTATTAGTGGTTTAGGAAGAGGGGAGTTTTCACAAATCCAGCGCTCCCTAACTCATGCCTGGCTGTGACGTAAATGGTGTGCGGCCGTGAAGCCAGGACAGTAAACAAACATGTCGCCGGTAGTATGGGACTATTTCAAAGTTTCAGAGTTAGATAGTTCGCTTGCTATTTGTATTAACAAATGCAGAAGTTCCACGAGGAGGGAAAAAGGCAACGAGCTATAATACTTCCAACCTGATTAGTCACCTGAAACATCGCCATCGCTACGATGCTGTGTTAAAAGCGTACGAAGACGCCTGCGCTGCTAAACTAGCGGCGAATATAAAGGCAGCTGCAAAGGTACCACCAGGTGTGCAAAAACTACAGGTACATTTAATATATACATATATTATATTATTATCGGTTATCGGTCTTGAGAAACAGGAAGTTATCGGTATCGGTTTCAAAAAAACAATATCGTGCATCCCTAGTTTTAATAATGGGTAACATTGTTAAGACTGATTACTAATAATACATAGTCCTTAGTTAAAGGTTGAGTTACTATAAAAACACCTGCAGCATTAAAATATAAACATTGATGACCTCATTGGAAATCTAAAGGCATAGCAATGTGCAAAGGTCATTAACATACTGCTTACTCACTGACCAAAATCAACAGAACCCATTCATTACTCTCAGTTAATCTATATGACATAATACTTGCATTGGACAAGCTCAGTGTGTGTTGCATCTCACCTGAAGCCAAAGTGTTGGCGAAGAGACTTCCACCCAGTGTTTGGCCTGTTAAGGATGCTGCTGTGGTGGTTGCTGCGCCCCCAAGACCCAGGCCGAAGGCTGAAGTCTGTTGTGGAGCTGTGGCTGTCAGGACAGAGCCGAACGATAAGCCTGCCACTCCAGGAGCTGCCAAGGGCGTGGAGGTGGTGAGGGAGAAGGGTGTTGCTGAGGCGGTGGGCTTGTTGAAGGCCAAGCTAAAACCAGTGGCTGCACCTGTAGCAGCAGGTGCGCCTGAGAGAAAATAGGCACAGAAAGCAAGGTTATAACCTGATTTCATTCACTTTCAATTAAAGGTGGGGTAGGTAAGTTTGAGAAACCGGCTCGAGATACACTTTTTGTTATATTCCATTGAATGCTCTTAACATCCCGATAGCAATGAATATCTGAAGTGCTTTGACAACAAATCCATAAAAGAACTTCATCTGTGGAAGCCGTAATACTGTAAAAAGTACAACCAATCCGTTTAGCCGGATTGCCGCCCTGTCTGTCAGCCTTCCATCTCGTGCACGCACAAATGTATCTCGTGCCCTCATTGGGCGTGCATTGCAGCAGTACTTCAATGAGCAGCAACAGGCGGCCACTTTCACCAGTCTGCTGATGTCATGTGTGTTCATGTGTGTTGGAGGAGGTGCTCTGTAAGGAAGTCTGAAGGAAGGGGCGGATTCTTTTCGGCTGTGTACTTTCAAATTTGAGTGCACTCGAGTCGGTTTCTGAAACTTACCTACCCCACCTTTAAGTTACTTCAGAAATATACCAAAAAACAAACATACCTAATGTAAGGCCTGTAGTGGGTGCAACAGCACCTAAAAGAGAACAACATAAGACAAGGGGTAAGAATGAAGCCATGCAGGAGTTTATGATAGTGTTTACCACTGGGTTTTTTAAATCTGTGTAACAGTATTACCTGATGCAGGTGTGTTGAAAGAGAACCCTCCAGTAGGTTTCTGACCGAAGAGACCGCCTCCAAGTCCGAGAGATGGGGTGGCGCCTGTGGTGGCAGCAAGGGTTGTGGCTGCTGTACCGAGGGCTGTGCCCATAGAGAAGCCACCGGCATTGGCTGCAGGTGTACTACAAATGCAAAAGGAAGACAATCAGTCACATGACCACAGCTCCTTAGTGATACCAGAGTCAAGACGTAAACAAAGAAACAGATTACTAAATAATCAATAGAAAGACGTAAACATGCCCTCTTACTTTTACTTTCACTTTACACATCTTACTTGTTGCATATAACACAAAGAGTGCAGATTATCAATACAAGTAAAATCTAGTAAAACAAAGTGAAAGCTGTGACAATGTACAGTCCCTTTTGCTAAGAATGTCACTCAAAATGTGCCTTTTACTACTCAACTGACAGATCACAACTTTGAACTTATATCATTATGGTTAGGTTTCTCTTGCAAACATAATAAGAAGCAACCCGCCTCGCGTTGTATTGTTCTTTTGAAAAGTAAGTTACATTAACGATTCCGGTACAGTAACACCGGTAACCTTAATGTAAAACGAAACACGTTTTCTTACATGCTAACGTCAGGTTAACTTTGTCTATGCTAACGTTAGCGAAGCCGGCTATTTTAAACATGTCATTACCTGGTTGCGCCTCCAAATGAGAATCCCCCACCAGGGTTGGCGGCTCCCAGGGTCCCTGATCCAAAGTTAAATCCAGACATGTTGTCTTAGAAGCAACGCATTAACACAAACAGGTGATTTGGACACTCATGAAGACACTCAGCATCACAGCTAACACGCTAGTTAGCTTTGAAAGATGCCCGCGTGAGGGCCAAATCTTCGGTCTTGCCTTTAAAAGACCAGGCAAAATGTTGGCTTTTTCAAAAAATGCTAAGGTTCAATGCGGACCCTTCCGTTGCAGTGTTCGCAACCCTTTCTTATGTGTTTTAGATAATTAAAGACGCCTAATATTGCATGACAAATCCTCGCATGGTGTTACTTTTCCTATTACCCGCCTGGTGTTTCCTTAATGCTGTTGCATTTTGGGTAATCTCTTTTCAAACTACATTTCCCATACTCCCTTTCGCTGTTTTTGTGTCGCGTGATGCCTCACACATACACAAAGTTAGTACTTTCGGACGTTAACAAAACCACGGCCTTGCTTTCAAAATAAAAGATAGCAGTCGAAAGTTAAAAAAATATAGTAAAGACAAACTTTATGTATTTGAAATGGTGTTCAAATTCAAACACGATCTGCACGGCACAATGCTGTTTCGCTCACACTTTATTTGTTGGACAGTATTTGTAACTTCGTATTGTTCTGCATAACAGTCATCAGAGCTCTTTAATGTCTAATGTATGTTATACTGTATGCCTTTTGTATTATGTCTCTTTTCTGTGTTTTTTCACAGAAAATTAAGAAAAATAAATACTAATTGTAATACGTACATATTTAAAAGACATTGGAGAAATTCCTTCGTGACCATGTTGTCTCCTCTTTAAACCTACATTGAGTCGTGCTTTTATTTTGAAAAGTATGCCACATCAAGTGTTGACGTTATTTCCCGGATCTTTACGCGGATGGAGGAGTAAAATAATTGACAATAAACATCAATCTTATGTCTCCAACAAAGTACAGCCCGTTTGTGCAGCAGTTTGAGGCAACAAACTATCAATGATAGTTATCTCCGGAAGGCGTCGTGTGAAGATTTGCAGTCGCTGACAGCTGTCTCTTTCGGGGGAAATGGAGCATATCCGAACGCCAAAGGTAGCTAACATTTGTAGCTATTTGCAAATGGGTAGGATACAGAAGTAACTCGGCCTGTCCTGTGGGGAGTTTTCTAGTTCTCCAGTGTGGCTACGTTGACAGTTTATATCAATGTTCAGACTTGTGTTTGTGGGTTTGAGGAATAGCAGGTGTAGCCAGCAGCTTGGTGTCAGACGTGACGAGCATCAATGAGCTGTTTGTCTTTGCTTTTCCTGTATAGCAGATATATTGATAGAGTTAATGTTACACTGTCAAACCCGGCAGTGTATCCAGTCTGACAGAATACTGACAGGAGAAGCTGCATCCAACCATAATGACACATTGATGGATTTACCATGCACACATACAATACTGACAGCACTCCTGTGTGTCTGATAGTTTTGTGGCTGCTCACACCCCGTAGGACTGGCAATCTTATGGTATCATCTACACGTACAACCAAAACAACCACGAATTGGGAGGTGCCAAACTTTGGAATGCTCTTAATCACATAACTCCTAAATCCCTTAGCCAACTGAACCAGTAAGAAGGCAAAAACCAGCAAGAACTGAAGAGCAGTGTGGTGGGCTACAGGCCTTGCAGATCATCACTAGATCATACAGGATGTGGCTGCTGTCTGTTTTGGATACTTTAGAAAGAAAATGATTTGCAACCACATTTTAATATTTCTAACATGAATTTATCTGATAAATGTCTAATTATATGTTTTGTCTCATGAAGTGATAGGGTTATGTATTATAAGGAATACAGTTTATACACTGTGCATAGCTTCAGATTAAATTGTGCAACATTGTTTACCTTAAATCCAGAATTGTAGAACAAAGGCAACACAGCAAAGACATGTCTCTATAGAATTATGGATTGCACCATTTAAAAGCTCAGTTGTATTTACTTTGGCATTGACAACAACTCAATATATCCTACATAAGCCTCTCTACCTCACAGATTGGGACATGCTTTCGGCCCACGCCTACTCTATTATACTAGGTGTTATCGTGAGGGTGTGTGTATGGAGAAAGGTGAGCTTCCGTCCTCACGATCGGTCTAATGAGGGTAATGTAACACATTACAGTTAAAGTGCACACAATTCTTTGGTTAACATTATTTGCCTGTGATATAAGGGTATGCTGGGATACGGTGGGTGTGATTGCATGCAGACAGGGTGTGGCTGTACTGTCTCAAGGTTGTGTGGCTGAATAAAAGAGCAGAGGAAGATTCATTTATTTATGTGCACCCATGTGTTTTCACTTGGTGTAAAAAAGTCAACTTGCACTGTATATTTTTACGACAGTATTTGGTTGTATTATTAACTTAGTGGACAACCTGATCCAGATGTTGATGCTATGTTAAAAAGATTCACATTTTTGCTATTTTCGAGCTGTGCGGGAAGTATTGAAAGTACTTTGAATAATTGCTTAGATTTTATTGTGAGATTACGACAAAAATAAAACACAATTCTCCCCCCCCCCCTGACTTCCAGTATGTGCTATTAAGCCGGTTTATTATAGAGATGTGTCTCAAGGGTTGCTGGGAGACAGAGATAGGCTAAATTATCATATCAGAAAACGACAGGAAAACGGAAACAAAGGAGAGGATGTCTGAGTCAACCAGAGAACTGCTGATGTGATGAATCATGGATTTAGACTGTTGGCTGCTTTTGCTCTCTTACAGTCATTTTGCCACAGAGGGAATATAACTAGATGTTTCTAGTTATATTCAGCATATTTTCTAACAATAAGCTTATTTCTTATTCCAGTGGGTTTTTATGGAATGCAACACATGTATTTAAGACTGTCATTGTTACAAATTGCACAAAGTACATCACTATTTTGAGCATTTGTATAATGCCTGTCATGCGGGGGATGTATTGAGAAGGCATGTGATATGCATGTAATAATAATGACAATGTAATATGCAGCATGCATGTAGTTGGAGTTGTATCTGTTAAACCTCATTTAGTCTGGTGAATGGTGGTTCTTAACACCAGCAGTATTAAACACTGTTAGTTATGTCTATTGAACCTAAACCTTCTTCCTGTGTGACTTGAGTAAATGTTCTACCATAAACATCTTAATGATGTACTTGGAAGAGTTGGGGGCACTGCAAGGCTAGATGTCAGCAGTAAAATAAAACATTGAGAGGACGCTGAGAGCACAGACCTCCGTCAAGGCCTTCCCCTATCATGAAAAAAACAATATATATATATATATATATATATATATACAGAAAAATATATGTGTAGTTGCACCATGATTAGGATCCACTCAAACATCGAATGGGGTCTTCCTAAGTTTAATGAAAATCGGATGGGATGTTTTTGTATTGTCGTAGCAGCTTTAAAATCAGCTGTGGTTTAGACTAGAGGGAATAATCAGTTAGGTAACAGACGTACAGCAACAACACAATATTCGCATTAAAAGCAATAAGGAACTTTATACTTGCAAGTATGACGTCCCCTCCAACGGAGAACGTCCTGTTCTGAGTGAAACAGGCTCTCTTTATAAGAGGACATCACAAAGCAGATTTACATTACAACAACATTCTGGGAGGCCAGCTGATACCCCCTCTGATACTGTATTAGGGCTGCTCAATTAATCGTATTTTAATCGTATTTTAATCGTATTTTAATCGCGATTATGATTATGACTTGCAACGATTACGAAAACAACGTAATCGAAATAAAACGATTATTATTTTTTTATTATTATTTTTTTTGTTTTTTGTTTTTCAGTTGAATTATACTTAAAGTTCAGGGTAATCAACTGTTAAAAACATACTGTTCATATTTTTCTTCTCCAATAAATGGATGTTTTCAAAGTCAATGAATAATCGCATTTAATAATCGCAATTACAATTATTGACCCAAATAATCGAGATTATGATTTTTGCCATAATCGAGCAGCCCTATACTGTATGCAAAACCATCACTCCCTACAAGACAATGGGATATACAGATACCCCTCAGACACAGTATGCAAAACCTCACCTCCTAAACACGTCTGTTGACCACACATACATTTAAGGTTCACTCCCAAAGAGATGACCTAATCAGAGAAACTAAGGTTAGCAATGTTAACACATTTGATTGCATAATTTCCTTAACAGTATAATCCTGCTGACCAACAAACCAAAAACATAACCTTCTTAGTAAAGGTAATTACAACTGGGAAAAGGGGAACTATAGAAAGTAATAGTTGACTTGATCTCCTTGCAGTAGCTAACATACTTATTTAAGAATTCTTCCCTAACCATATTCATGCTCATTATCATCACATCTGTCACAGTGTTCAGCGAAATCTGACTTTTGCCATATCCAGAAACCATTTGCGACACAGGATTAGCTGGTGGCTAGCTGGAGCATTTGTTCTTCCTTTCAGTACATCCTAACACCAAGTTCGAGACATTTAAAAGAGCCTTGACCTGCTGATTAATGTTGTTATTTTCGTGTGTGTTTGCAGGTGGAGCAGGTGCGACTGTTAGATCGCTTCAGCAACAAATTCACAAGTGGTACACTGTACCTCACAGCCACACATCTCATCTTTGTGGAGAGCAGCTCCAACAACTCGACATCTGCCGCACAGGAGATCTGGGTGAGTCGTTTTGGCAGTGACTGCATTCTGTTAGTTATGCCGTTCCCAGCTACCTTTTTTTCACTGACTTCTTTCAGTTAGGCTATCCATGTATGTTTTTTAAAGATATGATATATGCAGTGTAATGTTGCCAGTAGCTTCTCATAATATCCTCGCAGCTTTTTTCGTCCCATTATTAGGGCCCGAGCACGAGAGTGCTACGACCCAACGGCGTCCTAGCACGAAGTGCAAGGATACCTATTGTTATTCGTGGTATTATTAGGGCCCGAGCACGAGAGTGCTAGGACCCAACGGCGTCCTAGCACGAAGTGCAAGGATACCTATTGTTATTCGTGGTATTATTATTATTATTCCATATTTCAATGCTTATTTTCAGGCCTTTAGGATGCTGACAAAGTTGTATAATTTTGCACGGACGCCAGGACCGGTGAAAAATTTGATATTCTGGAGTCAATGTGTTCAAATTGTCCAACATGCTCTCTAGCGCCACCTATGGCCATTTCCGTTTTTGGAAAGATGTACAAAGTCGCACCGTAACTCCAAATGACCTGACATTTTTCACACTTACTCGGGTGGACCTGCTCTACATATAATGTCCAAGTACCCATAAGCTCCGCCTACTTTATTTGTTTTTAAATTAGCATAATTTTAAAAACACTTAAATATTCACTTAAATTTCAAAATAAAATTCAACACCAAACTCAGTATACAGTATCGCCGGAGGGTCAGCCACATTATCGTAGGAAATGAGCATGTTCAGTCGATAAATGTGGCCCTCATTACTCTAAACGTGTTCGCAAAAAGGCGGGGCTTAGATAGAAATGCTCATAACTCATCAACAATGTACAAAAAAAACACACATTTTGGTGGTAATGTTCAATCTGTATTGGGGAATAGGCACAAAAAGTCATTTCCATTTTAGACTATAGGGGGCGCCAAAAACATGACAAATGTATAACTCATGAACTGATGGACGAAATCTTTTTTTTTTTTTTTAGACATACTCTGGGGATAAGTATGCACCTATATTTAAAGTGTCACAACGAATGACAAATGTGGGCGTGGCCTGTACTTTTTTTTTTTTGACAATGTGCTAAAATGTGTTTCGGTACGCCAAACTTGGTACACACGTCACAGCCCACGACCTTTTCAAGAATGTAAAAAAAAAACGTAATTTTTCTAAAAAACTGCTCACTAGCGCCCCCTATTCTCAGAACTTCACGAATTTTGGCACAGACATTCCTCATGGAATTGAAGACATATTTGTGCATACATTCCATTAGCCCCGCCCCCCAAAAAGTCGACCATTTTGAAATATGTGCGTTTTTTATGCATTTTAAGCACATTCTTGCGCACTCCTCCTAGGGGAATGATCGGAAAAATTCCAATGCAGGACACGTTCAGCCCCTATCCAATATGATACTTAATTGAGGAGCACATTTTTGAAAAATTACTCGTGGAGGTCGTAAGCTAACAGCGAATATACCATTTTTGACGATTTACATGTCGCAAATTACTCCAAACTACTCGGATATAGTTATTCCGATATTCACGAAACGCTGTATACATATTGCTATTATGATTGCACATATATTTCAAATTGCCTTCCATTAGCCCCGCCCCCCAGAAAGTCGGCCATTTTGAAAAATGTGCGTTTTTCAGCCAATTTACGCACGTTCTTGCAAACTCCTCCTAGGGGAATGATCAGAAAAATTCCAATGCAGGACAGGTTTAGCCCCTATCCAATAGGATACTTAATTGAGGAGCACATTTTTGAAAAATTACTCGTGGAGGTCGTAGGCTAACAGCGAATACACCATTTTTGACTATTCACATGGCGCAAATTGCTCCAAACTGGTCGCATATAGTTTTTCCGATATTCACGAAACGCTGTATACATATTGCTATTATGATTGCACACATATTTCAAATTGCCTTCCATTAGCCCCGCCCACCAGAAAGTCGGCCATTTTGAAAAATGGCCGTTTTTCATGCATTTTAAGGAAATTTCTGCAAACTCCTCATAGGGGAATGATCGGAACAATTCCAATCCAGGACAACTTCAGCGCATATCCAATGTCATGCTACATTGAGAAGGAATAGTCCTTCGCTCAAACGGGGAGCTCGTAGGCTAACGGAGAATGTACCATTTTTTACCAATTATATGTCAGATAAGCTACTGAGGCCTGCCTGTTTGCCTGGCACATCAACTCTCTCACACACACACACACACACACACACACACACACACACACACGCACACACACCTACTGTTAGTCCAACAACACCCTTTGCTGGCGGCATATTCATTACAACAGACACCTATACACTCGCTAACCCTAACCCTAACCCTAACCCTAATGTTTATTTGTAGATATCTCCTAAAGCCTACAAATAAAGTATGACATGTAGGCCTGTTACATTTGTTATTGAGCGATATATATTATACACACTGTTCTGCTTTCTGCACTGACCTCAGCAGCTGTTCTCACTGTAACATCACCTAACATCCAGGGGACATGTGATTAGTGAGTAAACAAACGGTAAAGGGCAGAAAGTCTGATGCACATTTGATCATCTCAAATAACTTATAATCACAACGGGAACAGTTTGCAGAGCTGTGCTTTGTTGACAGAAGTCCAGCCATGCGTCACACCTCTTTTAAACATCACTGTTGGCTGAAATCGTCTCAGGAGAATACTTCAGTGTACCCTCGGTTATAGCTCCTCTCGAGACACTCCTCTCTCCTCTAAATCAGTGCATCTTTGGTTACGGCTCCTACAGACAGCCTCCTAGGTACTCGATCCTCGACGAGCCTTTTGAGACATTTGTTTTCCTTCGACATCCGTTTCCCGGTCGCTGCCGGAGCACCTGGGAGTCTGGGACGCGAAAATTATAGAAATGAGAAACGGCTCATATCCCAGGACTCGCGCGCATCTGCTTGACGCCGGGACGACCTGCCGCCCTCCCCGACAGGCGCACGGACGCGAGGGCCCGCTCATCACTGCGCGCACAAGTGCGACCGCAGTTTTAATTAGTCTTGAATTTAGAGCTAATTTTAAAAAGAGAGACATCAACATTGCCACCACAAGGAAGTCTGCAACGTGATGTGGTGGGCCAATAGCGAGAATATGCAAACTTGTGTGTGGTAAGAGGAAGTAGGTATAGGGTTTCAAAAGTAGCTTACAGTTGCAAGATTTATGGCTAGGCTTCAGTGTGTTAATGTGAAGTGTGTGTGTGTGTGTCTGCCTCCATCCGTAAGAGGATTACTGATGCTCACCTTGAGAACTGGGTTACATTAGTGTCTGCAACACTTAGTAGGCCATCCAGATTCTTTGATTTGAATGTTACAGTAGTAAACAGTTGCGCTGTTGTGGTGTGCAGTGAAGAAATACTTTGTTGTATCCTGTCATATGATGGAGGGAAAATAGTCTCAGGGTATTGGGATAAACAGATGTACGGGTCTGCATTGTGGAAAGGTTAGCCAGGTTTAAAATGCTTTGAGCAGCAGATCTCGGGCCATGACCCCACTCCCCCACCATCCTTCCTGCTTTATGTGAGAATGTTTTCATTTGCTCTGTTTTTGGGCTTGCATGCCGTTATTTTTCTGCGTATTTATCCCTGCGTGAAGGTGCCTGTTAGCATGTGCCAGCTAACTAATGTCGGTGTTTGTGGATGACGTTTAGAGTGAATGTGTTGGTCAAAGAGAGTGTTTGTTAGACTGTTATTGTGCCTTGTAAAATATTAAACGGCAGTTGAGTGATCAGCATCAGTGTGTGTGGTGTGTGTGTGTTTCATTGGTCATTACTGATGCTGATGAATGTGCATCTTAATGATCTCCCATCGCTGGATTCCCTGTGGAATTCAAACTAGCCTCATTGAATATGGAGATGTACTTTCTTGCCCTCTGTACTTTATGGCAATACAACAATTTATGATCTTGTGTTAATGTGTAGCAAGATTTTGATTTTGTTCAAAATACCTGTTCTTAAAATCCTTGCATGTCTATCAGTATCAATGTTTTTTGGTTCCCTAATGACAAGACTACAAGCAGTGTACTCTCACTCTAATTGTTTAATAAAGTCTTTCTGTATTTCTTATTATTATTATGATATCAAATCATGATCCAAAGCCAATCACTGAAGATCTCTTTGTTTTTTCTCTCTCTTTGCAGATCTTGCATCACCACATAGCGTCTGTGGAGAAGCTCTCCCTGACCACCACCGGCTGTCCTCTGGTCATCCAGTGTCGCAACTTCAGGCTGGTTCATTTTGTGGTGCAGAGAGAAAGAGACTGCCACGACATCTACAGCTCGCTGCTGCGTCTTCTACGGCCTGGTGGGTTTCAGTTTGTCTGTCTAACATATGTTGTTATCCCTCCATATTTGTATTCGTTAATTCACTTTCTCTGGTTTCCTTCTCCTTTGTGCAGTATCCTACGAGGAGCTCTATGCCTTCTCCTACAACCCCAAACAGAACGACCAACAGAGGGAGGAAGGATGGCAGCTCATCGACCTGGGGGCGGAATTTGAGAGGATGGGCGTCCCCTGCGACCAATGGCAGCTCACAAACGTCAACAGAGACTACAAGGTAGATAGTTGGTTTGTCTGTTATTCAGCTCAAGTGTCCAAGAGGGTGGATCTTTTGGTATTTTCTTGTGCTTTTTTGTTACATCTGATGCTGCTTCTTTTGTGTGCTGAGAGGTAGAGGAAGAAGCACAGGGTGTACAGTTTCATAAATGTCTCTTCTGTGTCTCACAATTATAGTTAAACCTGCAGTTTGCCATCCGTTTATATAGGAAATACAACGTTCTCATAGATCTCATAGAAGTTAACAGGTTTGGTAACTTTATCATTTATTGTCCATGCACAGAAAGAGATAAAATACAACTTTATAAATGGCAGTCAGTAAGCACTCGGCCCAGTTAAACGTGAAGTTGCTGACTGTTGTTGACCTTGGCACCGTCTCTCTGCACCATAAACACCACCTGCTACAAAGACAAATACATTTAAAGGAGCTGACAGTGCGTTGATGTCAAATGATTGTGGCATGAAAGTGACACTATTATTATAGTTGTAGTTTAGACACTCCCAATCTGTTAATAGAGTATATTAAAAAATAAAAATAATTATTGCATTAGTACTTAGTTTGTCCAGAAGAGGGCGCTAGAGCTCCACTGTTAGCTCAAACTGTTGTATGATGGACATGCAGAGCTTCAATATAAAAAAAGAAATACTGTTTGCTAATTTGTTCACAATGAATGACACAAAAAAACATCAACAACAACATCAAAAGGTGCATGGCAACAATGCTAAAATAAATCATTAAAAACAAAAGATATCAACTAACATAACATCACTTAAATTGAACTCAATACAGTTAATACAAAAACATACACATCATAAAACAAATTATAGTAACAATATGAAAAAATAAATGATACATATATATTGTAAAATTATTATAAAAAACCGAATATTAAATAAAATAGGGCTCTAATTTTTTGGGATGATAGGTAGAGTGGGATACATTATGACACAAATAATAGTTTTTAAGGTATAATGATTTGCTGTTTTAAACTATGGGCTAATGGCTTCACCGTTCAGACTAATGTGTGTGTGTGTGTGTGTGTGTGTGTGTGTGTGTGTGTGTGTGTGTGTGTGTGTGTGTGTGTGTGTGTGTGTCTCTGTGTGTCTGTGTGTGGGGGGTGGGGGTGGAATGTGTGTCTGTGTGTGTCGGGGTGGAATGTGTGCTTGTTTTTTTCCAGGTGTGTGAGACATACCCACGGGACCTGTATGTTCCCATCACTGCCAGTAAGCCTATCATTGTGGGGAGCTCCAAGTTCAGAAGCAAAGGACGCTTTCCTGTTCTCACATACTTCTACCAAGAAAAGAAGGTACTATAACAACCTGTTTAGAGTCGGAGAGGTCCTGATAATTTATTCCGGTAAATTACTCTGACCTACTAATTGACCTTTCCGAAGTTATTGAGTCTATGTAAGTTTGCTGCTTGGCTCAGATCCACCAACGTCAGCAAGATCTCACCTCTATTAACTTCCCGAAGAACCAGGTTCAATTAACTGCTGTTTCAATTCAGACAACTCTTTTTTTATCTGTTTAAGCGATCCCGAAGGATTTTGATATCAGTAAATGGAGTGTGCTCCTACCTAAGTGTGTGTGGCAGGGTGCAATCTTACCTTTGAAGCAGGAGAGGAGGGCACAGGTGTCTTTTAAAGGATCCCAATCCAACTGGTGGGATTCAGTTTATTTGAAGAAAAATAGGTCCAACTAATACAGGGTTTTTACCTTCTCTCTTTACAACATTATAATCATCCTAACAAAACCCGTGCTGTGATCATGTTCAAATGAAACTTTAATTCACAGTCTTACATTTATTACCAAAATGTTTTAATTTCAACTGCCCATTTCAGTTGTGACATTTTAAAATTCTCCCGATAGAATTTAGAGGTATTTCCTCGTAAAAAGACCGGTGACAATAAAAAGCGCATTCAACTTTTTCATTTTACCAACTCAATTCACATCAGTTTCATACCTTTTTTCTGACACAGACGGCGGATTAACCTGTCAAAAACACATTCCTATCCGCCAAGAGTTCGAAGGAAGGCCCTTACAGGTCGCGGGTTATAATATCCACAAACACATCTCTCATCAAATCATTCCACTCAGCCAACAACCAAGAAATTCGAGGGATATTTACCCCGTCTGACCGAACCAATACCGAGACATTATCATCTTCCATTTTCTTCATCTACTCATCATTGTTTTTGCTCCCTGAACAGTTTGTTTAGTAGCTTCAGATATTGAAAAATAAAGAGTGTATATGCACATTTTGGTACCTTGAGACATTTCCCTCAGGGCTGGATACATTTTTAATGCAAGTGCAAGATGCTTCTCTTCAGGTGATAATTTTTCCTCTGTTCCTGATCAAGTCATGGACATGAATAACACAGATTTTCTATCACCCTGGTTCCTTATCTCCACATTGTTAGTTTCTGAGAATGGGTCTCAACATACTATTTTGGTTTTTGATATTTGATATTATTGTTTTGGTGTTAAGATAATTTTTTGAATCTCCCTCTTTTCTTAACAACTGGAGCTATGTCTATTTTAGATTCGACTTGGTTAAGAGTTGATTTATTCATTGGTGAGAGGAACACTATTTCCCTTGTGCTGGGTGGGGGATGTGTAGCTTGCTTTTGGGAGAGTTCCTTAAAATCTCCAGATCTTCCTCTGTGCTGAGGCCATAAAACTTGTAATGGTCTTTCGTGGTCTGCTCAAATTTTCTTCCCCTCCAGAGGTCACGCCTGTCTTTGACCCTGTGTGCTGCGTGTTTCTGCAGCACCTCGGGAGCAGAGAAAAGAGGAGACCTTTTTTCCAAAAGTGCAAGCTCCATTCATGAGCAAAATAGCACCACATTTAACTCTCATTGACTTGTCTTTAAAGCGTTCTTTAAGGCTTGAATTGAGTTTTCCGTTGTGTAACGGAAAATCCCATTCCCAAAAAGGGGTCAAAAGTAAATAGTTTAGTTGATTTTGGTAAAGTATTTGAGCTTTAGCTTCGCAAAAACTTTCTCATATTAGTTTTGAAGATATTTTTGGGGCTTGATTATCTGCTGATAGTTCCCACATAGGTTTTTTCTTAAAAGTACATTCAAAACAACCGGTATTTGTGGGTCATCTGATCACCACATTGCCTTCTGACAGTTTAATAGTCCTTATCATATTATCACACTGTGCTTGCATGCTAGGACCTATTCTCTTTGCCAGAGCTACTGCTATTTCTCCTGCATGTTTTAGCTTCCTATTAGCAGGGTTTATTAACATGGTTTGTTGATCCAGTTTTAGGATTTTCAATATTTGACATTATTTATTTCCAACATTCCTTTTTCCTGAATATCATGTCTAACAATGTGTTTTCTTCTGGTCGTAGATGAGATACTCCTAAATGGCATTTTTGAGCTTTTATCCCTGTATGGTGGAGATAGGGTCTCAGATATTATACCACCTGCTTGTTGCTCTCTGTCAAACGGTAGTCTGACAGGAAAGTATTTTGGTCGCGGTACGCCCGTGGGTCTGGGCTAAGCTGACCAGGGCGGGCAGAAGCTCCGGATTTTGCTTCTGTGTATCCCCACTGTGTGGTTGGCTCTGAGTCATTAAAAACTGCGTTCTAACCTCGTCCGCCATTTATTTTTGTTTGTTTGTTTTAAAAAACAACACAAAAATGTATTAAAGGGTTCAAGTTCACTCTTTTATACACATGCAAGTTCCTAGGCTTTACTCCCGCCGGGTGTACAGTCCGACTATACCGTCACTTGGTTCTAAGTTCTCTTTCTGGATTCAGTTAGTACATGCGGGTACCTCAGCTAAGAGTTGTATGTACCGAGCTTCGAATTTTTTCAACAGCATAAGCAGGGGTGCACATAACTTTTTTGCCCTGGTTCTCAAAGGAGCACCTGGAGATGTTGCTTGGTGCTCATCCTTAAAATGAAATAAACTGTAACTTTTGAGGGGTCTTGACTTTATTTGCCAGACACACGGCACTGAACACACATGCGGAGGTGAACACAGAACACACATGCAGGTGTAGCACGACCAGTTATCCTACAAACTGTCATCACTCCCCTCCTGACTGTTCTCCTCTCTGTCAGACATGGTAGCTGATGATGTAGGCCTACTTCTTTCTCTCTGGTTGAGTCTGCGATTAGATGCTTGCATCCACAAGTCAATAGCTGGTTTTGGGTCGAAAGTCTCTGTTGTCATCTTAGACAAGTGGATGTAATCAAATAAGTTTGTGAACATAACCAATAACCTACCATAGCCAATAACAAATTAATGTAACTTATTTTATTTATGTTGTTCATTCATATCTTATTTTACCTTAACATTTATTTATTTATGCATTTTTTTTTATCTCTCCAGTTTTAAAGGATATTTTTGGTTACTGTCCTATAGTATACATTGGAATGATTTCAAACCTGTTTATCCCATTAATTATAAAGGAGAGCCTTGGAAATATGTGTTTACATAAATTGTGGCCAAACCGTTTGAACTTAGACTAAAGTTAACTATCTAAACCAGGGGTGGGGAACCTCCGGCCCCCGGGCCGTATCCGGCCCGCGAGACCTTTGCTACGGCCCTCGAGGTAATAATCGCAAAAAAGGAAAGAAATCTAGACCGCAAAAAAATTAAACAAGCGAGTGCCTGTTTTTCCTGGCCAAGGTGAGGGTCCTTGAACACATCACGAGCCTAACGTGTCATCACGTGGTATATGTCTCGTCTGACAGGGGTGCAGTTCTGACCATGGTTCTGACGGAGAGCACCAGAACGCCGCTCCGCCACTTCCACAAATTGCAGTACCCATAAGGAGCCGTACACATCCCGCAGTTTTTGCGTGGCTGTGTCTTTAGTTGAAAGCCCAACGGTCTGTTCATCATAAAGTCAATAACTGTGTTGTTATTAGCATCTGGTTAGCTAGCTATGCTAACGAATATAAGAAGCTTTTTCTACAACCAGTGAGGTAAAGGCACATCTTTATATGATCATTATAGTTATAAAAAAACAAGAGAATAAAGTAAACAGGTATAAAATACTATATGACAGTAAAAAAAGTTGTTATTAATAAACAAGAATACAGTTTGAAAGGAGAGTGATTTGTAAAATATCCATAAAGAAAAAGAAAATCTGCTTACAGTTCTGTTTCATATGGGTGTTGAGAGATGTATCCATAGATCTCTTAATGTTGCTCTCAAAATGCACCAGATTGATGCTTTTAACTTCAACATTTAAAAACAAATCTTCCCGGGGGAGAACACCCCCCTAGAGGAGGTTAGGTCCCCACTTAAAACATGTTCACATGGATAGGAAACTAAATACATTTGTGTCCATATATTTCTGTTTGGGTGGTCATGCCACAACCGTGCACGTGCATGCATGAGTCATGGTAAAATATCTGGATTAAGAGGTTGCTTTTTCTTTGCACAGCATGAAAGAAAGGTCAAATGAATGGGCTGTGATTTTAGTATTTTTAAGCAGAGGTCAATCATTTGTACGGCCCTCGGAGGATGTTGGAAACATTGAAATGGCCCTTGAGAGGAAAAAGGTTCCCCACCCCTGATCTAAACACTCAGAGTCCTTACCTCACTGAGCTGTAGTATCAACCTCTCAGTCTGACTGGAGAGGACTCTCCCTCCACATTATTGTAGAAACATATTTTTCTTATATCCGTTAAAGCAGCTAGCACCAGATTCTAATAACAACAGCGCCGGTACCGGTGCACCCTCGCTCACTCGCATTTTGGCTGTGAGCTGCGGGCGCCAGATAAGCCAACATCCCCCATTTTCATCACTTACAGCGCCCATCGTACAGGGAAAATGAAACGTGTAACCGGGGTGAAAAGGGTGTTACATTTACTTAATTGTGAATATTGTTACATCAAGGCCGAAAATTAGGATGAGCCCCAATGGTCAAAAATGTTTTTTTCCCTCCCAGAGCTGCCAGCGCAGCGCCTCCACAGATCTGGCGCCCTAGGCGAACATCTATTACGCCAGAGCTACGGGCCGGCCCTGAGTTCATATCATAGGTTCATATGCAACTCGCAAATATATTTCTCTCTCTCTCTTCTCCTTTCTCTCTTCTTTCTCCTCTCTTTTCTCTTTTCCCTTCTCTCTCTCCCTCTCTCTCTCTCTCTCTCAATGTTGGTACGCAAATGCGCCTTTTTTCAAATGACACGGTGCTCTTTATTTGGCGGAGGTGCGCATGCGCACCTGCGCACCAGTTATGTGCAGCCCTGAGCATAAGGTACCTTTAGACCTATGTTTATCTTTATTAAATCTCCTATTAACTCTTCCCCACGTTATGTTTTAACGCAAAAGTTCAAACCGCAACTCTTTGTCAAGTCCTACCTATAAGTTTCAAAGTAATTGGGCAAGTACTGAGCAGTGCTCCTACGGCTGACTTCACTTTAGCCACCTAAACCTGTGTTAAAGGGACCACAGGCTTCTCAATTTGGCTAGGGGAAAATGAACCTTCTTTAGCTTCTTTAACAGACAGCTATATCCGATATAATATAACCCTCAGTCCGGTGCAATAGTATTAACTTAAATTACTACACTTTCAGGTTTAATTATATATATTCTAGGATTTGGGGTAGGTATTTTAACAAGACTTTCAGCCTGTATTTCGCTGATTTGTATTCATCGACTTTTTTCACTAGGTCGTTTTGGTTCTTGTATTTTGACTCTGTAAAAATATTACTTTTCACAGAGCCCCACGTTGGGCGCCATGTTTAGAGTCGGAGAGGTCCTGATAATTTATTCCGATAAATTACTCTGACCTACTAATTGACCTTTCCGAAGTTATTGAGTCTATGTAAGGTTGCTGCTTGGCTCAGATCCACCAACGTCAGCAAGATCTCACCTCTATTAACTTCCCGAAGAACCAGGTTCAATTAACTGCTGTTTCAATTCAGACAACTCTTTTTTAATCTGTTTAAGCGATCCCGAAGGATTTTGATATCAGTAAATGGAGTGTGCTCCTACCTAAGTGTGTGTGGCAGGGTGCAATCTTACCTTTGAAGCAGGAGAGGAGGGCACAGGTGTCTTTTAAAGTATCCCAATCCAACTGGTGGGATTCAGTTTATTTGAAGAAAAATAGGTCCAAACTAATACAGGGTTTTTACCTTCTCTCTTTACAACATTATAATCATCCTAACAAAACCCGTGCTGTGATCATGTTCAAATGAAACTTTAATTCACAGTCTTACATTTATTACCAAAATGTTTTAATTTCAACTGCCCATTTCAGTTGTGACATTTTAAAATTCTCCCGATAGAATTTAGAGGTATTTCCTCGTAAAAAGACCGGTGACAATAAAAAGCGCATTCAACTTTTTCATTTTACCAACTCAATTCACATCAGTTTCATACCTTTTTTCTGACACAGACGGCGGATTAACCTGTCAAAAACACATTCCTATCCGCCAAGAGTTCGAAGGAAGGTCCTTACAGGTCGCGGTATTTATAATATTCAAACACTTTTTCCGACACAGACGGCGGATTAACCTGTCAAAAACACATTCCTATCCGCCAAGAGTTCGAAGGAAGGCCCTTACAGGTCGCGGGTTATAATATCCACAAACACATCTCTCATCAAATCATTCCACTCAGCCAACAACCAAGAAATTCGAGAGATATTTACCCCGTCTGACCGAACCAATACCGAGAGCTAGTTACCCAGCTCTGAAGCACACAGCCTACCGGGAGAGAGTCTACCAGGGGTTTCCCCCCCCCCCCCCTCTCTCTCTCTCTCTCTCTCTCAAAAAACCAGTCTCTTTATGCTAAAAAAACTGGATCGAAAACCCAAAAAACAAACTCCTCCTCTATACCCAATTTGTGGAAAACTGCGCATGCCCACTAATGTACAAGGCTAAACATGTCTCAATATGTTCCATAGTTTTATGACATGAGACACACCTCCTCATGTTAGTGTGAAAAGGACATGAACTCTCTTTGGCCTTCAATGTGTTTCTCCTTAGTGTGAAGCCCCCCCTCCCTGTGTACTGCTGTCACAGGAGAGGAAGAAAACTCAACCTAAACAAACCACTTTGTTTTGTTTATACTGTAACTATAGAAAAACCTAAAATATGAAGCATTTTCATTGTGGGTTATACAAGAATATAATTGATTATATTTGATTATAACTAACTTTCGTTTTTAAGTATTAAACATACTATGAAAACTCACAACACCCTCTTTTCAAAACGCAAATTTATCAAAATAGCAACAGAAAAAATTGTAAGCACATACATATTCAAAAACCGTCAAGAAGCATTCTCATTATGGGTTTATACAAGAATATGATTGATCATGTATGATTTATTAATTAACTTTCGTTTTTAAGTATTCACTTCATACCATGATCTCAATTAACTTTCGTTTTAAGTATTCACTTCATATGAAGATCTCAACAAACCTAAGCACAGTAGAAAGCTGATTAAACATCAACAATTTTTTTAAGATTTATTAATTATTGAGTTAAAATGTGTATAGGTTATCCACAAGGTGTTGCTAGGGAAAATGCCCTAGGTTTCATGTTATTGAAAGTGTTCATTCCCTGGTTTGCCTGAATGTGATATAACATTTCATTGTAATGCACCTGTGGGATGAGGTGGCTCTAGATGAAATCTCACTGGGTGTCAAACAAAGATAATATTTGACCTCTCCCACAAGTATGCAGTTAAAACATTTCCTTGAAATCAGCTCATTCGATTTTAAATGTTAAATAAGGATTTTATTAGGCTGCAGCTCATTCAAGGGAGTTGTAGTAGGGAGGTAATGATAGGTGTCATATGGTGAATTTCTGTAATATTTTTTTACATATCCTCGTTCTAATCTGTGTACTCTGTTCCTCTGACAGGCGGCAGTGTGTCGATGCAGTCAGCCTCTCTCCGGGTTCAGCGCGCGATGCCTAGAGGATGAGAGCATGCTGCAGGCCATCTGCAAGGCCAATCACAACAGCCGATTTGTCTACGTCATGGATACTAGGCCAAAGGTAGCCACCAAACTAATATGTGTTCTGAAATGCTTTTATTTTTGCTGTATGTATTCAACAGAAATGTAAAACTTCCCAATATTTTCCAATACCTTTGTGTTTTTCCGTCCTGCAGTTGAACGCGCTAGCTAATCGAGCAGCAGGCAAAGGCTACGAGAACGAGGACAACTACTCCAACATCCGCTTCCAGTTTGTTGGAATCGAAAACATCCACGTGATGAGGACCAGCCTGCAGAAAATGCTAGAATGTAAATCACATGATGCTACACACACTGGCACACAAACAAAAATAACGTTTATTTTGCCGATTTTAACGGGCACTTTTATGATTTGTCAGACAAAGCATAAGTATCCTGAAATGAGTTTGTGTTTCAGTGGCTGGGACTCGCTCTCTCTCCATGAGCGACTTCCTGGTTGGCCTGGAGAGCAGCGGCTGGCTGCGGCACATCAAGGCGATTGTAGACGCAGCTATCTTTCTCACCAAGGTATTCAAAGGGTGGTGTTCATTTGTGAATATTATGTTGCTGAACGACCAGTCATAAACATTTATTTGCTAGAGAGCTTACTTTCGCCAATAATCCAAAATCCTTTTGTCTAGGGAACTAGGGTTATGTTAACTCCTTGTTGGGCCTACACAAATACATCATCCCTTAAGCACTTTACTGCACATTTTATATAGTTTTTTCATGATATTTAAGTATTTTTCTTAGAGAATATGGCATATATAAATAGTTAAATGATATTTAATGATGACACTTTTGGTATATCATCGCTTTAAATCGTGATGGACTCATTCACTGCTTTTTTTCTTAATGCCACAATCCCCTGCTCTCTGCCCCTCTTCTCCCCAGGCGGTGACAGTGGAAGGAGCCAGTGTGTTGGTCCATTGTTCAGACGGGTGGGACAGAACCGCCCAGGTCTGCTCCCTGGGGGCGCTGCTCATGGACCCCTACTACCGCACCATGAAGGGCCTCATGGTACCAAACACACTCATGCACACACATTGCACTAAAGAGCAGATCAGAACAACTTCTACAAGTTAGTTTATTTTACTTCAAACGTTCCTTTACACTTGTCTTAGGTACTGATAGAGAAAGACTGGATCTCCTTTGGCCACAAGTTTGCAGACAGGTGAGGTTTAACCTAGATCAAATAAGCCTAGAGATTAAGTCTGTTTGTCATACCCTTAATATTTTTTTTGTGACGGTTTTTGTGTGTTAGGTGTGACCAGTTGGACGGGGATCCAAAAGAAGTGTCTCCTATCTTCACTCAGTTCCTGGAGTGTGTGTGGCAGCTGACAGAGCAGTTCCCACAGGTGTGTTTGAGCTACATGACTTTGGTTTGTTATTAGCAGTGTGGTTATTGCATTTATTAAATAGTAATCCTCTCCATAGGCATTTGAGTTCAGCGAGTGGTTCCTGCTGCAGATCCACGAGCACATCCACTCCTGTCAGTATGGAAACTTCCTTGGAAACAATCAGAGGCAGAGAGAGGACTTGAAGTGAGTTGAACAAACACATAAAAGAGGCACTCAAAGAAAACAAAGCTTTAAACAAATAACTTACATAAACATTAATTAAATATTTGGATAGCAAATAATGGTTGTCATCTGCTTGTGTAAGCCTTGATGGGCAAGGGAGAAAAACCTCTGACAAAATGGTTTCTAAGAGGGTAGAGAAATGAAACTCGTAAATGATTTTAGTCCTATTTAGAACTTCAGCTTCTTGTGGCTTAAATGAGAATTACAAAATATCATGTGCCTAAAAAGATTTCACCATATGTTTACAGATTATTAATCTAAATACTTAAAAAGGATTATAAGATTGTGAAGGAAAAATTGCATTGCATTAAGCTAAAACTAAATTCATTGTGGATTGATGATCTCATATCTCTGAAAAGCATATCCACCGGAGACACCGTTTTCAGTTCATGAAACGATTCATGAAGCAAAACAATAATTTCACACAATTGGTATAAAAACCTTTTGTTCCGTACGTGTCACTATAACTTGTGTTTGTTTCCAGGCTGAGGGAGCGGACCCACTCTCTGTGGGCGTTTCTAATGAGCGAGAGGGAGAACTACTTGAATCCGTTCTACAGCCCTGCATACTCTAAAGCCCACCCTGTGCTGCAGCCCTCCACTCTGCCCTACCACTTCAAGTCAGTACAGCCCCTCTCCTCCCTGTAGTTGTTTTATAATAAAAGTGCATACATGGCATCTTACAGTCCTTATTTCTCAGGTTCTGGAGGAACATGTACCACCAGTTTGATCGGTCTATGCACCCCCGTCAGTCGATCCTCAAAACCGTTCTGAACCTGAGAGAGGAAGGCCGCAAGGCAGAGAGCGCACTGCAAGCGCTGGAGAATGTGAGTTTATTTGCATTAATTATCTTTATGAAGCAAATATATTGAAGTCACTGATTTCACAATGTATCTTTTATAAATTCAGTATGGATATAAAATAAAATAAAATCCCATTCCTTCAGAAACTATGATTGGAATTATGTTTTTTTTAATGTGAATTTATATAAAATAATAAGTGAAAATATCATGAGGATGAACCCTTTGATTTGTCGACTCCCTGCTCTACGTTACTTACATTTCTGATTTAAAAACATCTCTCTCTCTGTGTTTTGTCTCCCCTCTCTGTCCAGCGGCTCCTTCAGCTCGGTGTGACCCCCGTTGTGACCTCTGACCCCCCAGCACCTCCTCCCACCAGAGATCAACACTGCAACACCCTCCCGGCGCGGCCCGATTCACTCATCCTGGGGGCTCCCATCAACCACAAAGAGGTGGAGCGACAGGAGGAGGAGTTCGATCAGGAGGAGGTGGGCGAGGAGGCCACAGAGAGCACTGACACAGAGCGGTCAGTGGAGGGCAGCAGCGGCACCGACAGCAGGAAGCAGAGCTACGGAGAGCTGGATGGGACATACAGCAGCGAGTTGGCCAAAGAGGAGCCAGCTGCTGTGAGCCTGGAGTTTGGAGTGGCGCGTATGACCTGCTGAGACTAAACTGGGGGGGGATTGTGGGATATCAAGGGACGGGAGCAACTGAGTGAGAGGGCTTATTGAAAGCGTGTGCGTGGCGAGGGAAAAAGTAGTTCTGTATTTGATAACGCGCTGATTAGGCAATGGTCCTAAATGGTCCATTGGGAGTGAATGAAGTTGTATGTGTGTATAGTCTAAATCTCAATGGAAAGCGTCATTATGTCATATACTGCACCTATAGAAAAAAAGCTTGTTTTTTTATGAATGTTAAAAAGCACTATAGAGAATAATGAATAAGAGAATAAATTCATCCCAATAAAATTGTGACTTTTTCTAGTTTGTTCAGCTTTTTATATAATCCAATCATAATCCAAATACTAATATTTATTATTTTTCTGGCACCACAAATATGTCCTCTTATCCAAAGCCTGGAATCCAGCCTAATCTGAATGTTAGGACATGATCTCGTTTTTTAAATTCTACATTAGTGAACATAATCTAGCACTGGAAATAAGGCTGAAAAATATGGGTGCACTACAAACTCTATCAGACTAAATGCAGTTGAAATGACTGTAACTAGTCATTTTACATATTTAACCAATTTCGTGACTATAATTAATTGGACAGTGATGTTCAGTCCCAAAGAGGTTCAGCTACTAACTCATTGACAATTTAATCCTATTTCACATCTCACATTGATCAGATAATCTGATTTACTAACATCCATTGATCCCAAAATCCTATTGGTCACCTCTGTCTGCCATGTCAATGACTGATTATTTATGACAGCTGACCCCGATCAGGGGACACTCTCAGACACACTTGGGAAAAACAAGGTCAATAAGTAGTTGTCAAAACACTGACAAATGCTGGATTCTTAGAAATGGAATCATGTCAGATTTTTTTTAAAGAAACAAAAAACAATCCATGATTTTCTTCTTTCGGTGGAATAGGACCAGGCCCTGTGGTGGTCCAAGGGCCTAAGAATACATCTGATAAACTAGCAATGTATGTTTAAGGAAATCATAAAATAGTTACTCAAGATAATCCACAGTTCTTGTTGTCAGCAGTTTCAGGTAAGAGTTATTTATTTATACCGTATCACTGCGCAGAATAAAGAGCTCATCTACTAATGGACCAGAGTAGCTAGTTTAGCGATGCTACTTAAAGTAGCAGTATTTGTTAGCTGTAAACTAATCTACACTGCAGGGTTGCCAACTCTCACGCATCTGGCGTGTGACACACGCTTTCAATCTCACGCTCTCACGCTGCCCAAACTATTCTCACGTCAAAAACAAGATGAACCGGCGATCGTTTTTGGTTGGTTATTTACAATGTTGAGTATCTGGCCCGCAGGTATCGATCCGCTCCCTCCCCGCCCCCACGTTAACATACAGCAGAGCAGTGGGAGCCATGGATGTATAAGAACTATAGGTTACTTACGTAACCCCAGTTCTCAGAGTAACATGAAGTGAGATGTCTCACTATGGGATGCGCCTCATCGCGGAGCAAACAGAAGCATCAATCTCATTACGCCAATCCTGATTGGCTGGAGATCTTGACTTCAGCGTCAGGGAAATCACCCCCTACAAGTAGCTTGCGCCACAACGCATGCGCCATTCAAAATAAGCACCTCTTCTCGCTTCACCATAGCAAGGAGGGCCGTCTGGTGAGACATCTCACTTCATGTTACTCTGAGAACTGGGGTTACGTAAGTAACCTATAGTTCTCATTCATAACACTCCGTTCGATGTCTCACTATGGGAAATTGTAGCTCCCGTATTGCCAGACGAGCTTATCTCGAAAATCACCAAACCAACCAGAACTTAACAGGTAGAGCTCTGACTCAACCAGGTGCCCAGCACTGCTTGAGTCACACTGGGAGCAGAACGTCCAGCCTGTTAGGAGGCAGACAAAAGTGAGCGGCGAGGACCAGCTCGCCGCTGCACCAATGTCTTTGATGGGAGACATCCTGGACAGAGTCCAGAATGCAGCCAGACTCTGAGTCGAAAGAGCTCGCGGACCCGAGGGTGCCTGCGAACTCTGACTCGTATGAGCCCCAAAGCAATTGCTTCCACAGACCAGTGGGAGAGCCGTTGCTTAGTAACAGGCTTGCCCTTATAAGGGTTAGCCCAGGACACAAGGGGTTGGTCATTATGACAAAGCACCCTTGATCTGTCCCTGTACGTGCGTGAAGCACGGGCTGGACACGGCAAATCCGGCCACTGTTCCCCGGAGGAATACAGTGGCGGGGAGGATGCCTTAATGTCAAATGTGGTACCCGAACCGACCGCCTTAAGATAAAGGCAGGGTCAGGCTTCAACCACACTCTGTTTGCCCTGGGGCAAACTGAGTGCATGAAAACTGTACAGATAGTGCATGAGTGCCACTGGCTCGCTTGGCAGCTGCCAGGGTCAGCGTCATGTCACACTGTATTTAGATTGTACCACTCACGGGCCAGGCCCATAGAGCCAAGCGCTCTGGGTGTGGGTGAAAGATCGCCCCCCCGCTTGGGACAGTATGTCCCTGCGTAGTGGGAGCTGCCATGGCTACCCGCACAGCAGCTGATATATCTCCGCTAGCCAGTACATAGCTGGCCAGTGCGGAGCTATCAGGATAAGTGTGTGGCGTTGCTCTCTCACTCTGGCCAGAGTTGGGGGTATCAGAGCCAGGGGTGGGAACGCGTACAGAAGGCCCGGGGGCCAATTGTGCGCGAGTGCATCCACGCCTAACGGTGCATTTAGATCGCGCATCGAAAAGAACAGCTGACACTGAGCGTTGTCTTTCGATGCGAACAGATCCACCGCGGCTCTGCCGTAACACACCCACAGCTGGCTCACAATCCTTGGATGTAGAGTCCAGTCTGCATAAAGTGGTATACCTCTGAACAGTAGATCTGCCCCGAGGTTCCTCACTCCCGGTACTTGCGTCGCTCTCAGAGAGAGGAGACGCCTACCGCTCCATAGGATAAGTTTGCGCGCCAGTGTGTGTAACTGGAGAGAACGCAAACCCCCTTGGCGGTTAATATACGATATCGTGGTCGTATTGTCTGTCCTCACGAGGACGTGATGTCCCCTGAGGAAAGGCAGAAAGCGTTTTAGGGTGAGAAACACCGCTAAAAGCTCCAGGTAATTTATGTGTGCCCGCTGGAGGTCTCTGCTCCAGAGACCCCTCACCGGGCGACCTTCATAAATACCTCCCCAACCTGTCAGACATGCGTCCGTGGTGACCACTTTCCGTGAAAGGACAGCACCCATAGGCACACCTCATACTAGAAAAGTCGGGTGCAGCCAGTGGCGCAGTGCCATTACGCATTTCACAGTAACCATCACTCTCAAAATGATTTGTGACAGAAAAATCAATAAGTGTGTGACATGTGTTTATGCGGACTTGAGGATGGTGTTGAGGCATCTCTCGAGGCGGCGGGAACACATTTAGAGCTGGGGAACCGTAGACTTCCAGCTCTGTCACAGAGGGGAGAAGGAGGGTCTGTCACGCCGCTCGCTTCTTCTTCCTCGACTGCTGGCCGAAATTCTGGGTTGGCTGCGCCTGAGCTGCAGCCGGAACCGGAGATTTTCTAGGCCAGCTCGCCCTCGTCTCCAGCCTGGGCTGGGGACTCGGGGCGGGCTTTTCTTCACGACCCCAGCCGGCACTGCGCATGCGCGTGACGGTGGTGCCTTTACAGCCCCAGCCGGCACTGCGCATGCGCGTGACGGTGGTGCCTTCACAGACCCGTCAATTGTCCGCCCTTTGAGAGAGGCCGTAGCTGCTCTCAGAAGGGGAACAGTTGACGGACTGTTTATTGTTTTTATTGTTTTTCTTTTCATTTTCGAGCTGCGCCCTTGGCTCGAAGCCTGGATGCGTCAGCGGAAAATGTTTTATGACAGAAAAATCAATAAGTGTGTGACATGTGTTTACGCGGACTTGAGGATGGTGTTGAGGCATCTCTCGAGGCGGCGGGAACACATTTAGAGCTGGGGAACCGTAGACTTCCAGCTCTGTCACAGAGGGGAGAAGGAGGGGCTGTCACGCCGCTCGCTTCTTCTTCCTCGACTGCTGGCCGAAATTCTGGGTTGGCTGCGCCTGGGCTGCAGCCGGAACCGGAGATTTTCTAGGCCAGCTCGCCCTCGTCCCCTGTCTGGGCTGGGGACTCGGGGCGGACTGCGACCTCTGCGTTTTCGGTATTTTGAACCGAGCAGGGTTCGGAGCAGCTTGGACGAAGGGCTGCCGCTGCGAAGGCAGCGGCTGGGCCCTTCGAGGGAGGCAGAGGTGGAGGGCCTCGTCCTCCTTCTTTTTCGACTCGCATCTCCTCTGCATGGAGGCAAGAGCGGAGCCGAAAATCCCCTCGGGAACGATGGGCATGTCAAGCACATCCTGAACAACGTTCAGAGCCCTGGCGGACAACGCTGCGGCTCTGTAGGACCGTTCAGTCATGGTCGACTGGAAACGGTCCACCTTTGCTGGCAGCGTGGGGTTCCTGCTTGGTGACCCATCCTCGGTGGGAGGTGGGCTGCCACCAGCAGTTCCATCGGCGGTATGCGGAGCAGGCCGAGCCTCTGCGGGCGAGACCATGGTGAGGTCTCGCCGGGAGCTCCCGCCTGGTGAGGCGTGGGGCTCCGTTCCCGCGTCTCTTGCCGCCACCGGGTCCCGGCGTGGGGTCCCGGTTCCGCAGCTGCCGCTGTTAGTGAGCCCCAGACCGACGCAGTGAGGGGCTCAGTCTCTGCGGCGGACGCCCCCGTGTCTTGATTGCCAAACGGCGAATCAGTGGACATGAGGGAGTCCTGTTCCAACAAGCTAGCTTGGTGTGCTAGCCGTCGGTGGAGGCTCTTTCGGATGAAAAGGGCACAATGCCCGCACGAGCCGGGGTTGTCGATAGCCTCCTGGGCGTGTTCCAGCCCGAGGCAGGACGAGCAGACCTGGTGTGAGTCTGTGCCTGCTATCTTCAACCCGCAGCCGCATGACCGAACCTCCGAGTCCCTGACTCCTCTGGTGTGACGGGGCAGAGGCGTCCATCTTGTTCGCCTCGTGGCGTGGAGAGGAACCGCTCGTAACAGGTACGTCGTTTAGAGAAAAAGTGTTACCAACCCGTCCTTAATCCGGAGAAAAAGGGACGGTGTGGGTCCTTTGTTCTCAAAGAATATTGACTGGTGTGTCAATATACTTCTAATCCTTTTCTCCTCCGTGAGAGAGAAAAGGGAAAGCGTCCTCGCTACCGTGGTGTCGGTAGTAAGGGGAAGCTAGCTAGCAACAGGTGCGTAGCTAGCTTGAGAAAAATCAAAACCTTACCTTACTTTCCGGGGAAAGAACGGCGAGGTCGATTTTAA